ATCAATTAGGGAATTTCTGATCAATATCCTCAGATCCTTTCACGTATGAATAGCATTCTGTTCCAGAGGAAACAACCACCCAAGCGTAGAGAACTGATGCTGCGTCTCTGGACATCTCTGGACGCTTGCACTGACGTGTCGCACATTCCAGTTTTAGCAACATTCTAGAACATCCATTCCAGAGGATTGGAAAAGATCAGTCTACATCCCAATCTCAAAGAAGGGCAGTGCCAAAGAATGCTCCAACTACCGCACGATTGCACTCATTTCACATGCTAGCAAGGTTATGTTCAAAATCCAACAAGGTAGGCTTCAGCAGTATGTGGACCGTGAACTTCCCGAAGTACAAGCGGGATTCTGAAGGGGCAGAGGATCTCGAGACCAAATTGCCAACATGTGCTGGATTATGGAGAAAGCTAGAGAGTTCCGGAAAAACATCTACTTCTCCTTCACTGACCACGCGAAAGCCTTTGAATGTGTGGACCAGAGCAAACTATGGCAAGTCCTTAAAGAAATGGGAGTACCTGACCACCTTATCTATTCCCAGAGAAATCTATATGTATGGGACAGGAAGCAACAGTTAGAACTGGATAGGGAACAACTAATTGGTTCAAAATTGGGAAAGGAGGATGACAAGGCTGTATATTGTCTGTCTGCTTATTTAATTTATGAAGAATATATCATGCGAAAGGCTGGACTGGAGGAATCCCAAGCCAGAATTAAGATTGCTGGAAGAAATATTAACAACCTCAGATATGAAGATGATACCACTGTGATGGCAGAAAGTGAGGAGGAATTAAACTATCTCTTAATGAGGGTGAAAGAGGAGAGCACAAAAAATGGTCTGAAGTGCAACATCAAAAAAACTAAGATCATGGCCACTGGTCCCATCACCTCCTGGCAAGGGGAGGGGAAAGGTATGGAGGCAGTGACAGAGTTTACTTTCCTGGGCTCCATGATCACTGCAGATGGTGACAGCAGCCACAAAATTAAAAGATGCCTGCTTCTTGGGAGGAAAGTGATGACAAACATAGACAGCATCTTAAAAAGCAGATACATCACCTTGCCAACAAAGGTCCACATAGTCAAAGCTATGGTTTTTCCCCTAGTGATGTATGGAAGTGAGAGCTGGACCATAAAGAAGGCTGACCGCCGAAGAATTGATGCTTTTGAACTGTGGTGCTGGAGGAGACTCTTGAAAGTCCCCTGGACTGCAAGGAGTACAAACTTATCCATTCTGAAGGAAATCAACCCTGAGGGCTCACTGGAAAGACAGATCTTGAAGCTGAGGCTCCAATACTTTGGCCTTCTCATGAGAAGAGAAGACTCCCTGGAAAAGCCCCTGATGTTGGGATAGTGTGAGGGCAAGAGGAGAAGGGGTCGACAGAGGACGAGATGGATGGACAGCGTCATTGAAGCTACCAACATGAATTTGACCAAACTCCAGGAGGCAGTGGAAGACAGGAGGGATTGGCGTGCTCTGGTCCATGGGGTCACCAAGAGTCGGACACAACTTAACAACTAAACAACAACAAAGAACATTCATTGTGGAGTGAGCTGTCATCTCAGGAAGCACACATTGACTCTGTTTGCCCCTTGTTCCATATAGGAACATGACTAATACTGAGTCAGATCAGTAATCTCACTAGTCCGGTAATGTTCACACTAGCTGGCAGATCTTCAAGATTTCAAGCAGAGAACATTCCCAAAATTGAGTGGCGATTCTAAACACAGAACTGAGGATTTTATGTGTGCCAAGCTTGTAGCCCAGTCACTGACATGTACTCTCTCCCAAACTTGTGGCCATCTAAATATTACTGAACTGCCATTTCTTTCACCTTGTATTAGTGGTGCTGCTGGCTAGTGATGAAAGGGGCTGAGGTCCAATAACTTCTAAAAGGTCGCGAGCTGCCTACACCTGAGGCAGAGAGGAAGTGGCCTGAGTAGAGAATTGAACATATAACTCCACAGTCACAGTCCAGCATTTTAACCACTATGCTACACTGGTGTATTGCTTCTCAGTTTTTAAAAAAAGCAATTCCTCTTAATGTCCTGAAACTCCATTATCTTTCCCTTTAATTATTAATCATTTCTACAAAGCTGTCAGTGGTTTGGATCAGAAGTGCAGGGGAGTGTGGCTCAAATTCCACACGCCCTTGTCATCGTCTCTCAGCCTAATATTTTTCTTATTCATTATAAGGAGAAAATGTTGGTCTGTAGAGGAATTATGTAAACTTTCCTGAGCTCCTTGGAGTAAGGGTGGGATTTTTAAAAAATGAATAATATCTGCTTTGTAAAATAAAATTGTGTAATCTGCAAAGATGAGATGTCACACACACGTGCGCGTACACACACACACACACACACACACACACACACACGTGCACACACAGAGAGAGCTTCTGTGGTATAACCTGAAAGGTGGGATCAGCAGAAAAATTCAAGATGCATGCAGTCTGATCAACCATTAGACTTTTCCACCCTTGTCGCAGGTTTCACTATGGGCTTTGGTATGTGGTGCCGGTGGTTTAACTTTCTTTTGTCTGACCTGTTATTATTGTTACCATATATCTTATGTTTCTGGTTTGTATACACAGTTGCTGGATTGGTTACAACTAAAACATATTACAATATAAAGGCTGAATTTCTGTAGCACAGTTAAGAAAATGGCATAACTTTTGGAAGCAAATAGCCATTAAGTGAAGAAATCGCCATAGACATAGTCTGTTGCATACTGAGTAACATGGCATGCAACAGATATTTCTTAACTGATGGCAATTAACCTCTGAAAAGACACTTTTTTGTATAACTATTCAACAATATTTTAGCCACTATCCTATGCTATCCTATCCCATCTACTGAAGCATTAGGGGTCTCCCTGGGTCGTCATTCTATAAGAGCCAAGAAGGATACTTTTCATGGTCTTTCTGAGTAGGTATGTATTTTTGCCTGGGTTTTGCATGCAGTGTCTGTGTTATCTGGAATAATTACCTCAATCAATAACTGAATATGTTATGACATATTTTAGTAGAGTGGAGAGTTTGGTAACATACGTTGGTATCACCTCTGCCTAGCTAATAGAAAGGCATACATAAAATGCCTGTTTCTGGTAGTTTACAAAAATTCATTTCTGGAGGGCTTTTAGGAAGATTTGTTGAAAACCTATCACTCCTGGAGGCTTTCAGGAACATGAAATGAAATATTTTCAGGTAAAACAGAAATCTCCCCAATTTGAAGGTGTCCCTTTAAATGGTGGAGGGGACACCAAAACCAGCACAGAAGCAAAGAAACAAAGTCAAGGTGATGGCTTCCTTACAGAGTCATACCATCTCGTGTTCTCTTATTGTCTTCCACTTTTCCAGGTATTATTATCTTTTCGAGCAAGCCTTGTCTTCTCATGATATGTCCAAAGCATGGGCAATCAATGCAATCCTACAGTTATTTCACTCTTTGGTGCTCCTTTCTTTGGGACTGCAATCTATATTGAATACTTTTACATTGTGAGCCATTGCTTTGCTTTCCATATTGGTGAGCATATTCTAATTAGGATTTTGTCCTAATTGGATTTAATTTGGAATATTTCCATTAGTATTCAATCATTTTTCATATAATTTAATCTTAAAAACAAAATGTAAAAACAAGGCCAAATCAAAGGGGGAAATGCCTATAGCTTTAATATTGTCTCAGAACATATAATTCCATAATTATAAATACAAACCTGTTTGCATTAAAAATACTTGCAATACTTGTAGGTAATACATTCTTTCTGACATTGTTGCAGGAGTCTAAGTTCCATAAAATTGGTTTTATCTATAAGGTAAACCTTTTTCCATGGTAATTTGTTGTTGTTGTTTAGTCGTTTCGTTGTGTCCAACTCTTTATGACCCCATAGACCAGAGCACACCAGGCCCTCCTGTCTTCCATTGCCTCCTGGAGGTGGGTCAGATTCATGTTGGTAGTTTCAATGACTTTATCTAACCATCTCATCCTCTGTCATCCCCTTCTTCTCTTGCTTTCACACTTCCCCAACATCAGGGGCTTTTCTAGGGAGTCTTCTCTTCTCAGCTTCAGGATCTGTCCTTCCAGTGAGCCCTCAGGGTTGATTTCCTTCAAAATTGATAGGTTTGTTCTCCTTGCAGTCCAGGGGACTCTCAAGAGTCTCCTCCAGCACCACAATTCAAAAGCATGAATTCTTCAGTGGTCAGCTTCGTTATGGTCCAGCTCTCGCTTCTGTACATCACTACTGGAAAAACCATAGCTTTGACTATGCGGACCTTTGTCGGCAAGGTGATGTCTCTGCTTTTTAAGATGCTATCTAGGTTTGTCATTGCTTTCCTCCCAAGAAGCAGGCATCTTTTAATTTTGTGGCTGCTGTCACCATCTGCAGTGATCATGGAGCCCAGGAAAGTAAACTCTGTCACTGCCTCCATACCTTTCCCTTCCCCTTGCCAGGAGGTGATGGGACCAGTGGCCATGATCTTAGTTTTTTTGATGTTGAGCTTCAGACCAATTTTATTGCGCTCTCCTCTTTAACTCTCGTTAAGAGGTACTTTAATTCCTCCTCACTTTCTGCCATCACAGTGGTTTCATCTTCATATCTGAGGTTGTTGATATTTCTTCCGGCAATCTTGATTCCAGCTTGGTAATAGTAAGTAACAAATGTTTGGACTGCTATTGATACCTTAATGATCACTTCTGTCAAAAGGTATGATACAATGTGATCATAACACCTGCCTACCCACAACAGAAGCAGGCCCCATGATGTCCAATGGAATTTAACTCTCACTTAAACAAGCATAGGAATGCAACCTTAATTGCCCACACCACTCATTTACATGTTTTACCACTAATCATTTCATTGGAATTTGCAGAGCTGCCTATCTGCTGAAAACCAACCAACAGTTAAGCTTCTTGTGCAGTCATGTTACAGCTTCCTTACACACTAGTGTACCCAGTATAATGACAAGTCACAATTAACAAGAAGAAGACATGTTGATTACCAGTTATTTGGTCAAGCCATGATGACAGGACGCCAGAACACTGCATGAGAAAAGAAAAGAAAAAGGCTTCTATGATGCTAAATAAGACAAGTCAGATTTAAACATTATCTTTTACTAAAAACAAATGCATTTGAGTGCTGCAAATTATATTTTCTTTTTCAAGGAGATAGCTGCCACTTTACTTAAATTCATTGATACAATACTTTTCTCATACCTGTTTCAAAACTGAGATGTAAAAGGGTTTTTTTCTGTAGTTCCTCTGCTTCTTGGGAAAGCATATCAGTTACTACTGGAAATCTTATATACTGTATTGATAAAAATTCTAATGCTAATTGTATGCATACAAAGTCATCATGATTCTTGGGGCATAGACATGCACACATCAAGAATCATGTGCACATATATGTGCACCATTCCCATGACTCGTGGCAGGAACAACTTGTTTACCAGGGGGAAACAGACCAAAACTTACAATTTGGTTGACTCTAAGCAACAGGATTGTGACTAATGACTGCGAAGTAATTCTCCAAATGCCTGCCTCTACAAAAATGGGATATATCTGTAGGCTTTGAAACATCCAAGGCTTACTAGAGTATGAAGAAGTGGGTGGGGGAAGCTCCCAAACACCTAAGAGAGAAGGGAAGATGTTCAATGGCAATGGAATGCTGGACTGCTGTTGGGAGAGGGAAGGGAAACAGAGAAGAGTAGAATGGAAGATGATTTATTTTGAACCCTGAAGCACTTCACACTAAAACATTTTTGTACTCACTCTTATTTAGAATACCAGCAAAATATTGCCCGGATTGGTGATTAAACTGTCAAGTAGATTAGCCTTGTGGTCTTCTTCATCTTTGTGTTCCTGTGCTCTTTCTATTTCTTACCCATGTTTTAATGTTATATCCATCTAAATGCACTGTATGCAAAAGTTAATTCCTAGGGTATCAGATTTTGACTGCTTACTCCATCTCTAACAGATAAATTCAGTATATGCCATCAACACAAATACATAATGAGGCATGTATTACTGTATGTTTTTGTTATGTATCTTCAAGTTGGAACAAACTTATAGTTACCCTAATAGGGCTTTCAAAATAGGTGAGATATTTAAGGAGTGGTTTTACCAGTTCCATACTGTGAGTAAATTTTCATGGCTGAACTAGAATTCAAACCCAAGCCTCCTGAGTTTTAGTTCATTACTCTGTCCACTACACCACATTGGGTATCTTACTGTACAGCTATTACAAATAAAATTCAGGTTTGGAAGTAACATGTATTTCTTTTTAAAATAGGAGATAATTAGTTTACTTTCTTGTCCCTCTTTTGGCTTGTTATATTCTATATAGCCAGAAGAGGGAAGACTTGTCTTTCAAAGGAAGTGAAAAATATATCCCAGCATTTATTTTAGAAAACCAATTGTTTCTACTCTCCTGTATGGATGTATACCTCACATTATGCAAAGGCTACAGTGGTAAATATGTTAATTCTGTAAAAGAAGCTAAGGAAACTTTTAATATGAAACTAAAGAAAATTAACATGCAGTTAGTCTTAACCTACTACATACTTTGCAAAGTATCAACGACACAAAGCCTTATTTCAAAACCTTACCAAGAGGCTGTTTGTAGACAAGATTGTGATTATTATATTTTAATATGATTACATTTCATGAAATGAGGCTCAAATTCAAAATTTCACAACCTGAAATGGTCTTAATTCCAACTGATAATGATTAGGATTCCTCCCCCCTCCCTGTCAAAAAGACCCCACATCCTGAGCTGATACTTTATGAACAGTTTTGTACACTCTCCTTACAGTTTAGATAGATTTAAAGCAAACTCCTTTCTCCCAAGCAACTGTGAGTTGCAACCAATCCATTTTGTGTCTATGTGATAATACTAGTGATGATAATAATAATTCCAATCTGGGATAATATAATAATAATAATTCATTTTCAACCAAAAGACATGGTTTGACCCTCTATCATTCTCTTTTGTTTTCAGCTGAATGTCTCCAAGAACAAATATGAGCAACATGTGTACAGTACAGGTCGGCGGTTGCAACCTCTTGAATGTTCATCCAAATATTTCCATTTTAAAAATGATTCATATTTTAAGAGCTAAATCTTGTCAGTCACAGGTCAATGGTTTATTTCACAACACACCCTCCATAGCTCCCCCTTCCCAGCTGCTCTTTCCCCTTCATTGGCTGACCTCTATATATTCATTCACAACCAATGGGCCAACCCTTTTATTACCAAAGTGCACAACTGTTGTGCCAATGCCCTTCACATTCACCATCCCCATCAATGCTGCTGTGCACAAGAGCACACAGTCACCTAAGAGAAAAACACAGAAAAGAAATCACAGCAGATTTTGAAAACGATTGCGTCTGGGAGACAAAAAATGCTGGATAGAAACTGGCAGCTGTCAGACTACTGACAACATTGTGAGAAAACCAGAGAGAGTAAATGTGCATAACCCAATGACAAGGTGACATAAAATTACCGTGTGAAAACTCCCTAAGACATGGGAATCAGGACAAGTGGACAGTGCAGATGAAAACAAATTATCAAGCATTCCCAGTCATAGATTGGGTGGCCACTAATGCATCACCAAAAAGCAGAACAAATGAGGGCTCTGAATTGCAAAAAACTACATGTGCTAATTTATATATGCAAATGCAAGATCAGACAGAATTTGTATATCTTAAACAGAATTGCAATACATCTCACTCAATTGGGGAAGACTGAGGCCAAGAGACACAAATACCTACTAAACTTGCAAGCCAGGCAATGCTCACCGTACATGAATGGAAGTGCAAAGCTCCTGAAAAGTGTACAGAGCAGAGCAGAAAATTGTGCAAGTTCCACTTCCAAGTACATCATGTCTATGCTGGTCAGCCTATTCTGGCATCTGCAGGAAAGTATTCTGGTATGATTGGCTGTTGGTCTTGAGGAGCAGCCTATCAAAAGTGAAGCCTCTCCTCCAAGGAGAGGATGGGGAGAGGACACAGGCTCACTGGAACTTTTCAGTGTGAAAGTGGTGGTCAGCTTGTGTGAGAGAGGAAAGTATTGGATTCAGTCTAAGCTCATCCTTATCTCAAATTATATACATGTGTGTGCATGTTTAACTCTATGTTTTGTACATCAATTGTCATTTTCTGTCTGTAAACCCTGCTTCTTGTCCACAGACATATAAGACCTGTTCCCAAAGAATATTGAAGACTCCTTCCCTGCAGGTCTCCTCCATGACATATCATTCCATTCTTGCTCAATATCTTTGGATTTATAAAATCAAGAGTGTTCTCTTTGGATTTATAAAACAGAGAGTGATGGTAGTGATGGGGGGAAAAGCTGGGTGATATTATGTTACAGTGACATCAACAGAAAGACCCTCAAACACCCTGTTTTTGCAGTTAAAACTTAATAATGATAATAACCCATTTGCTGCCCTTTTGGTTGACCCCAAATCAATCTGGAACAGCCAACACATTGTGCCCAATGGCAGGGCCAGCACTAGATGGAGTGGTGAGGAACAAGAGATGAGACAATCAGGGATGTCAAATATTTTCATATTTGTATATTTCTTTTGCTTTGAGTTCTTTGGGGGGGGTTGCCTCTTTTATTTTTGTTTCATTTCATATTTTTCACATTCTGGTATTTTGTTTTACATGAAAGGAAAAAAGCCTGTTTCAAGTTATTCAGCTTGTGTTTTCCCATATGTTTTTTTTAGATTCCAAAAGCCTTAAAGTACCCTTAAAACTATTACAAAAAAGGAGAGGTAAGGCAACACAAAATAAATCTACTCCAAAAGAAGAATGAAAAAATCATAGTCAGATGTATGCAGATATTAGTTTATATTCATATTCAAAACAATACTGTAAGTTCAATGCCACCCATCCAGCAAAACAGACCCCCTCTAGGTCTGGGCAGTACAACAGAAAAAAGGCAAGGAAGGAAGAGGCAGCTTGGCAAACAGAGGCACCCACTCAGCAAAGCATCCAACAACAACACACCGCCAAGAACAACAAGAGAGGAATGTCTTAAGTTGTGCCTAGCTGATTACAGCATTCACCCATGCAGCTCAGTAGCAAATTGGATTCCTGCACTGAGCAGTGGGTTAGACTTGATGACCTTGTACGCCTCTTGCAACTCAGTTATTCTACGAAATTCGCACAGTCACAAGGTTCATACTCATACACCACAAAGTAAACAAAGGAGCACTCTCTTCACAAAACCCCCACAAAAATATACACCTTTAACAGAATTAATAAATAGTAAGTTAGCTAAATAGATGGTTTTATTCAGATTACTGTTAACATGACACTAAAGAAATTTTAAAACACTAGGGGAACCAAAGACAACTTGAAATAGCAATCTAGTGCACAATAAATTTCCTTGGCACTAATTTGATTTGTTTTCGATGGCCTTGTCTCCATACAAATAGAAGTGCCATTTTTTGAAAAAACTGCTCCTACTCTTGCAACTATTCTAGGAACAACAACAACAAAAAGCAGAGGACAAGCATTTTACTTGTTTGATCTCTGTATATTAGAACACTGATTAGATGTACAGAAGCTGACATAACAAAAAAGACAGAAGCTATAGACATAAGCAAATACAGGTCCCTATTGATCCATGGTAACAAAAAGTGTCAGTAGTAGACTCATTCAAAGCCAGAGAACATTCATACACTAAAAAACCCCCATGTGGCAGGAAATAAGACAGATGCGGCTTATTTCCACTGGTTCTTTCCTTTCCAATCATCCTGCTGTGATCTCAGCTCCAGGGATGGCATCCATCAAGCAAGAAAAGGGGATGACACTGTTGGGCAGGAAAAACCATGCAGCATACATACTGGAGATAGAAACATGCAGCAACATTGCTCTCCTACAAGGAATGAAGTAATGGGTTAGAACATGGGTCTCCAAACTTTTCAGTGTGAGGGCCACATCATATATTTTACACATTCTCGAGGGCAGAAGGAGGGAACGGGGACCCAAGTGATCACCCACCCCTGCTATCTTTGGGGGATTGCTTGGGTC